AATTTCACTCAACATTTCCAAAACACATAATTTTTTGGGAATAATTCGTATAAACTATGCTATAAACAAAAAATTGTAGGATTACTTACCGAGTGTGCACCGTTTGACCATGCCATTGCTTAAGCTTGTTTTCGTCGTGGAGCAGCGCACCAAACGGTGACCATGTATTCTGCGAAAAATTCGTTGAACTTTGGAGACATCATTAATAGAAATAATTTTTATGGCCGTTGAATAAGAAATGTTTCTTTCACAAGAAATGTATAAAATTACAGTACTGTATTAGACTTACAGTACCTAATTTACATACTGTATAGACAATAGTAAACTCAACTTACCCACCTAAACTCTCCGTAGTGTGTAAGTAGTTTGGCTGCTCATCCACTATTGGTCCAGATTTGACCAATCCTGTCACGACACAAGTCGGCGATGACGTTTTACTGCATTTTACGAGTCTCTTTTAGCGTCTTTATACAAATACAGTCGCAATTTTTTCGCCACAATATACGAATCCGCATTATATGAACCCACATTATAGGGGAGTCTACTGTATATATCATTGCTTATATTTAGTGTTTTATGATGCTGAAGATAAATTTACAATCTTTATTATTGTTATTACATATTGTATTTGCTTGCCTGTAACAGCCAGCTGTTAGAAACAGAGGGACCATTGTAATTAAACATAACAAATCAGCCATTAAATTCAATTAAATACTTTAAAAAAGTGAAAAGCTTTATTATATGGCATATATTTTAAAAATTTGGCACAATATTCATATGAAAGAAACTTCAAAAAAATTATTTCATTGATTTAGAACAGGGCATAAGTTTTAAAAATTTTTAGAAAGCTTTAAAGCTTTATATTACCCTATATTATACTACAAAAAGTTGTCGACTTCCTTTGTTAATGTAATGTACAGTAGTTTGAAAAAAATAAAATCTGAAAACAATCAATAAAAATTATAATCACATGATAACATCTATCCAATATCAGTGCAGAAAGAGTAGTAACTTTATTAATTATTATATTTATATCACAATATGACAGATATTTTCCATAATTGTGAAATATGATTTTAAAAAACAACTCAATTTTATCAATGTTTAGGAGTTTCATATTCTTTAATCAAGTTGCAATAGGCGAATCAAGTTGATAATTTTTTTTTGTATAAAGATTTCCAAAAAGTTTAGAACTTGTTAATAATGGTGAATGTTTTCCACTAGAGAAAAAGTTCAACAAGTTAAAATGCAATCACAGTTTTCAAAACGGAAAACTTCATCAGAAAGGACATCACTGCCTACGTAATATTTGGCTTTCTGCCTTTTGTCAGCAATTTTCTCTCTTAACCTCACTTTATTCAACACCGGAAATATCAATTACGTATCTCGAAGCCTGTTATTGGTGTGCAATTAACTTCAAAAAACGAAAAAGTAAAATTTCACAAATGTTTTCAAACCTTCAACAGTTCTTCTTCAGGCGGTGACAAATTTCCGCTAGAATGCCAATAATAATATTCGTATTTAATGGCTTTCTAATGGAAATTTGTCACTGCCTGAAGAAGAACCGTTGAAGGTTCGAAAACGTTTGTGAAATTTTACTTTTTCGTTTCTTGAAGTTAATTGCACACCAATAACAAGCTTTGAGGTACGTAATTAATTTTCTCTCTTTATAAACTACCATATTTTTGTGTGTATAATCCATAGATTATCAGTGATTAAAATCACTTTGAATGGAGTGTGGGTTATGCAATGGGATGGGCTACATGCCAATTTTAAATTTGCTTATGAACTCATTAAAGAGCTTTTCTTTTATCTAAAGCCACCAAGAGTAATGTTGAAAATTCAGTACTTGGGTACCTGTTTAAAAGCTTACATACATACAGTACATTAAAAATTCATAAAGGTGCAAAGTAAGTAAACATTTTCTATAATTGAATCATCTATTATAACAGTTTTTTTATCAAATGTTCTTTCTAATAAATTATCAATTTTCAATTTTGTAAAGATCAGTTTTGCAAACTAAAATTGTATTGTTTTATAAATGTTTTAAAGGAGGAAAAGCAATTTGTTTTTATTATTTATTCTAATTTAATTCAGTTTAATTAATATAAGGCAAATTTCTACACTATGCAGTTTAATAAATGAAGTAAATAAACCACAATTGTAATGAGTCATCTTTAATTTTGATTTTGTTAGTGTAAAAGTAAGGGCAGAAAGTAAAACTGTTATATGTAAACAAAATGAAACATTGCACAGTTGAAACTAGGGCTGTCATTTTAAGTGTGTATAATTATTTTTAGTTGCCAAAATTCATTTATACTAATGCAGTGTTCCGCAACCAGTGTGCCGTCAGAAGGTAAAAGTGTGACGTGAACTTTTACATGATTCTATTAATTTCAGGCTTTATTTATTTATTTTTATCACAGTTGTTGTGTTTCTTATGCTTCTATTTCATTCACTGATGAAATAAAATGATGTTAAAGCAATAAAACACATATGTCGTCCCAGTACTCACTTATTCTTTTGGAGTTATATATTGAACTCACACAGATCTTAAGCAGCTCCAAATGAAAACAAGAACAACACTTACTAAGCATGAACAACATCATCCTAAATCTGCCATAGAAATATTAACCCTTTCACCTAAAAATGGCAGATGTGGCCTGATCGACATAGTTAACCTACACTACAAACAAATACAGACATTGCAAGAGTTTTTCTACAAAAAACAAGAAACATCACAGTTACATAAAGCAGTAATTCTAGCAGACTCAAATAATACACTATTAAATTTACATTCACAACGTATGGACATGACACAACATATAAATAGCATAGACACCATTAAGCAATCATGGGTGCAAATGGTACTCCATGGCAGACATCCCTATGACCTGCCCCAGGATTTTGTTGACAAAACTGCGTCAAACAGCTGGTTAGCTCGGGGATGCCTCTTTGGGGAGACAGAAGGATTTATGATTGCCGTACAGGATCAGGACATAAATACTAAAAACTACAGAAAACACATACTCAAAGATACAACATTCACAAACGACACATGCAGAAAATGTCACATCATGCCAGAAACCATACAACACATCACATCTGGTTGCAAGCTCTTGGCACAGACAGATAATTTACATAGACATAATCAGGTAGCAAATACATCAAGAGCTTGCAAAGAAACACAAATTATTAGACATCCACGAACCATACTACAAATACATTCAACAAACAGTATTGGAAAACAACACGCACAAAATGTACTACAACAGCCATAATCACAGATAAAACAATTTACCACAACAGACCAGACATCACACTCATTGACAAACACAATAAAATCACATACATTATACATAGCCATTCCAAACACTCACAATGTACAAAACACATGCAGTGAAAAAATCAGCAAGTACACAGAACTTGCCCAGGAAATAAAGCATCTATGGAGGATGGATAGAGTGCTTATTGTACTGTACTTGTTGTTCTCTCCTCTAAAGGTGTCATGCCACACACGCTACACAAAAGCCTGGAAACATTCAAATTGAATAGAAACACACATCACGCTGCAGAAGGACACTATATTGAATGCATGTCATATCGTTAGGAAATTCCTGAATACACACACACACACTGACACACTTATTTAATTTTTGTCTTGTTTTGGTTACTATACCTTGACTCTGGTCCGGCACAGTACACAGCCATCGGTGTCAACTGAGTATAACTCATAAAGCTTAACATAATAATGATAATAGGTTTATGGCATTACGAATTTCCACTAATAGTATCATATCATACGTTTTTGAGAGGAATAACATTTTGTGTGCCATGTTGAGTCATTTCGAGTCATAGGTGTGCCGTGAGTAGAAAAAAGTTGCGGAACACTGTACTAATGAAACAAGCAGTGAGTTTATAATTAGCTTATTAGGATTACAATTATCATGTCATATATCTTACCATCAAAGTTCTCTGAGATGATGTCAATACATAAATATGGGATAATTATTAGAAATTTATCTACTTTTAAGATAAGAATTGAAGTAGGAGTGTTTAACATCAACAATAAAAGCATTGAGTGAATGCTTTACAAAGAAAATGAATAGGAGAGAACTAAAGATAAGGTAAACATACAGTAAAACTTTACATAAGAATAAGAATTTTACATTCTCACAATGCCAAATACATTATACAGAAGAAATTGTACTGTCTTTCAGCGTTAGATTTATTTGTTTGATGAATTAGATATATACAAGTATTCATCAAACAAATAAATCTAATGCCAAAAGACAGTGCAATTTCTTATATAGAACATATAGTATATATGTATTTTGTAGCTTTTGGAAAAAAATTGCAATGGCAGAAGAATACATCTGTAGTGCATAAAGAATTTTTTGTGTGTTATGTTATTTTGTCTTACAAGAAGCTGTTTGTTGAGTCTGCAATTGCAATTTAAAATTGGCATATGAAAGAGAATGTGAGGTACATTTCCATTCAAAATTGTCTTTTAAACATCAATAACTTATGGGTTATCTGCATGAAATATGGTATTTTGTTGTTTGATGTCTTTGAAAAACTTAATTGTAATGATAGTAAAATTTGAAAAAAAAAATTATTATTATTATTATACAAATTTAAATGTATGTAGTATGTAGCTCATTTCTAAAATATAAATTTTATTTTCGAAAACTTAGTTGTATTATTACAATATTTCATTATAATTTAATTTAATTTTGTAGAAACTGTTTCAAAACTCATTTAAAAAATAATTTTTTTTTTGGTGTTGCTATTTGTTCTAATTAAATCATAATAATAGTGAAAACTATTCATTTGCTTAAAAAATTTGTGAACAATAATGAAATTTAATTCTATTTTAATTAATTAATTGTGAATTTTAAAAAATTGATTAATTAAGAAAAATAATTTAATATCATAAATATATTTTTATAAATATGTCATAGTTTACAAAATTAATTAAATCGATGATTTCTCTTTAGCAATCACAGCCATTCCACGCATTGTCTGTGATGCCATTAATAGTATGGAATTGATTGATAAACAACCCTCCTGGAAAATAATGGATAATAAAGGCAGAGTCACGGTAGTATTACACTGGGACCAGCGAGACATCCGCAGGCCATCTGAAGGGAGAGGACGTCCAGGAGGTAGACCAGAAGCTGTATGGAGGGTTGAAGTTGTTTCCCAAGAAGTACAGACTACTGCTGACCAAACCACTGCCAGTCTAACCAGCACATCTGTCCCTAGAACACCTCGTGCCAAACTGACCTTGGAAGGTTTAGGACCCAGGCCTCCTTCTCGTATGCTGCCAAAAGCTGTAGAAGAAGCTAGGGAAGAAGAGGAAAAAGAAGTAAGTCCTGAACATGATCATTCCCTCTGTGACTTCCATTGCTCCGCACTACATGAAAAGGGTGCTCAAATCCAGGTAAATAAGTCCGTTGCTACCTCGCCCATTCAGGAAGTTCCAGAAGGGGGAGCTGCTGCACCTGCCACTGCCGTTGCTGCTGGACCCAGCGGTATCAGCACTCAGAAGAAGGGATCGGCCAAAGGGCATGTCCGCTTCATGGATGTTACCCAAGAGTCCAAGATACCTCCAGCTCAAGACGAGAGTGAATCCGACACAGAGAACACCGCTAATGAAGAAGAACAGCTTTCCGAGAGGTACCTGCTACTTGTTGATCAGCTCTCGTTAGAACAAAATCGCCATTTAAGCATCAAGGACATTGGTGTCATCCTAGAGCGTCTCAATTCAAAGATTGTGGATGTTGATCGTCTAGAACGTGAAAGAGAGAGTACCGACGTACACAATTGGACAATCAAGGCTACGATCCGTGGTGAAGTTTTGCGAGAAATTGGTGTAATTTACAATGGACAGTATTATGGAATAATGGAACATCCAGGGTATTTTTGATGTGTGGTCTTTGAAAGTAGATCAAAATTCTATTGTTTGCATTGGCTATTGCATTTGTCCCTGATATTCCCTAAATGCAGGGAAGTTGAAATTTGCAAAATATAAAGAGAATAGTAATTGGGGATTTATTTATTTCACTTTTATTTTGAAGAATACCACGTGAAATCAAAACCGTACCTGAGAATGGAGATTTGTGAATTACTGCTCAAATTTCAAACTGTTACTATCATGAATAATTTGTAATAATTTCTTTTTATACCAAAGGTAGGAAAATGCCTTTCGTTTTGATTCTAGAATTGGATTATTACTACGCAGTTTACAAAATGTATTCCTAGATATCATAAAACATGAGATCTTCTTTTTCTAATCATCCCCAGTTTCTCGGTGACAGAATTAACATTTGTAGCTTTTCAGTGACAGATGTGTTGGATTAACCACACATGGGTTAGAGATAGGTGTCAGGGACTTTTATTGCCCATTGAGCCATGCTCCTGTATCATAACTTCAAACACTGCCATGACAAACAGTCTTTTGGTGCAGTATGTTTATCCTCTTTATTCTGAGGCAAAATATGCCAGAAAAGTGATTATAGCTTTGCTGAGAAGTTTTTAAAAATGAGAAAAATATTTAAAAAGAAAACGGTGCACAAGATAGGATTCTCAAACTTTCATAATCTTCATCTCCTAGAAAGACAGGGTTATTCCCTCTGTTGCTGTACATATTTTGTACATAGCACTGGTTTCCATCATGCACTGTAGATTTTAGTGCTGTGCCAATTCTGAGAGACTTACCGAAACTGCAGAATTTTTGCAGCTTGAGGCCGGTCATGGAGTCTTCCCATGCCTTGTACAAAAATATTTGAAAGGATGGGTTGAATCTCCTAAACTCAGGTTGGGTAGATTCCATCCTTGTGGGAAGACAGTTATGTGCACATGCCAATATAATTGTGGTTTGCCTTTTCAATATTGTTGCTACCAAGTTGGAATTTGAGTGTAAAAATAAAACAAAAAATTTATCTGTTATTATTGGAGGTAGGTATACTTTGTCTATGCAGTAATGCAACTGAAGTTATAATTCTCAGTGCGTGTGGAAAATTATTCCTTTATATATTTACTTTTCATCTGCTTTTTAGAATTTTATATGTATAGTTTTGCACCTAAAGTATAGGTAAAACACAATGTCCTTCTGAATGTTTGCTCTTAAAAATTGTGATTTGTCTCGAGTTGTTTTGCGGTATCTTTTCCATAGGGAGACAGTGCCAGTTCTAATTGTGTTTTCATGGTTGCCAACTCAGGTAGCTAGCTGCCTTTATATTATTCCTGTTGTCTTGGGCCAATGGCAGAAAACAAATATTCAAATTTAAAAAAAATTGGAAAAAACTATTTATCTGACTGCCAGTTCTGCACTTTTCTTCCCACACGCATGAAACCTTGTGATTTTATATACTCTATGTAACTGTTTTTGAACAGATATGTATATTATTTGTGTTTAATTGGTAGAGTCTTCAATTTGGCATGTGGCATAAATTCTTGGAAAATGTGAAATGCAAGATGCTTGCACTTAATTGTCCCTTCTTGTATATATATATAAATATATATATACATACAGTAAATGAAGAAAAAAATATATACAGTATAAATGTGTCAGTGTGTGTGTGTATGTGTATATATCTATATATTCATATATTGTTTTATGCATATATACATATATGCACACACATACACACAATATATGTTTCTTTGCAGGCAAAGAACAATAACTGTAGATATAGTAGTATAGTATGTTTTAAATGTCAAGTTTGTTGTAGTTAATATTTTGGAACCAGTAAACTCCTACGTGTAACTCTTGAAATAAAGAGATGGTATGGTTGATGAATTATTAGAACCTTACTGTTGTCATTCATCAATGTGAGTTTTCTGGTGGCCTTGCTGATTTTTGCCTTAAATGGCCTATCATTATTATTTGCAAAAGAAGAAAAGCCGATGTTTAAACAAAGGTACAATGTGTTTAAAATGTTTCATTCCAAATTATTTCAATGTATTTTAAATGAAAAAAAAAACGACAATTTATGTGTTTTTGTCATATTGTTCAAATAGAAAGTTGTCATTCATTGCTAATTATAGCTTCTCTGTATGTATTAGCAAGCTGCTTCGGGTTGTTACAAAAGTTTAGATATTAAAGGAACAGGTTAAAGGAAAGTAATAAGTGTCATGTCTGATGACACACCCTAAATGGCACTATGATGAAATTTTATGTGGATTTGTATAATAATAATAATAATGATAATAATAAATAATAATAATAATAATATATGTATAAATATATATACATATATATACACGTAAAAATATATAAATGTATATATATGTATATATACATGCATACATACATAAATTCATATACACACAAACATGCATATATAAGTATTTATTTAAATGGTTATTTTGTTAAATTTAAAATATAAGAAACATTTTGTTTTTTGTTATGTGCAAGTTTATGGTGATGACCACCACAGTGCCAAATGTTGTTTGTTCTGTTAAGTTGTTGATCTTAATGTTACTAAAGATTATGTTGAAAACATTAAGTTTTTACTTATTGTAGATTTATAATGACTGATGGGTCATCATATCTCTCCCTGTGATTGTCCTGTGAAGGTATTACAAAATAACTGGCCTTTACATTCCAATTACAAAACAAATGTGAAGTTATATAAGCAACATGTGTAGAGCTGCTCAACAAAAAAAAAAAATTTGCCATCTTGTCGAATGATACAGAGGGCAATATTACAAATTATTCCAGTGATGATGTAATTGCTTTACAATCACTAGTTACTGGCAGATTTTAGCCAGTAGTTGATCATTTTGACTTCCATCATATATTTAATTTGCTTTCAGAAATCAAAATCTAATGTTTAATGTCAACTCTGTATGACCCCATTGTTTCAGATGTAGCCTGTTTTTATAGGCGCAGAGGTATAATCCATAGCCTCGTCAGTCTTTTTCACTTTTTACTAACAAAAGCTTTTAAAGATGAGATCTGTCCTGTAGTGTGTAATTGTACTGACAGTTAAAAAAAAAAAATAAAATAAAAAAATATATATTTAATCACCTGTTATATATGGGCTTTGTTTTGAAAATGTGGTCAAAGTACTACAAATTAGAAATGAGAATATTTATTAAATAAATTAAACAAAAATGACCGATACTTAGACAGCAATGTTGTATTTATGCAACAATTAGAATCGTGTTATATGAATTGCCAAGATCATTTGTTGATACATTATTTCGAATTGTTACCCATTTTGAACATATTATGTATGATCCATAGAGAACAGCATTACATGAAAAAAAGGAAAAAAAAAAACATTACGAAGACTACTTGTATAGATTTTTTTTCCATTTCATTCCGTATAGTTGTCATATAGCATTATATAAAAACCCATAACTGTAATAATCCCACCATTCCATATTTTAATGAAACTATTATAGAAATTTGTTTCTGATGTTAATATTTTAATTATTTGCAAAATTTATATGTAGTTATTGAATTAGGAATGTACAGTCTATCCAAAAACAAAAAAAAAAAATGATTAAAAATTAAAATATAAAGAACCTTTAATTGTTGTTATAAGTAGTTGACTATATAAATACTTTATGTTAGAGTATTTAATTAATGTTCAATAAAAGTGACATTTTATTTTAAATATGTTTTTTAAATGATGACAACTTGATTAATTATTGTACTGGTGCACAGAACAGCAACAGCAATATTCCGATTTTAAACTCTGTTTTGGACAAAGTAAACTTTCCTTTTTGATTTTCAATGGCGTTTGTATAGGATGACAATGCTGAATTAAAGATTTATTGTAAATATTTACAAAATCTGAAGTTAAAAAGAATAGATATTACAAAAATATTTTTAAAATTGGTGAAGAAGAAATATATATATATGCATATAATATAAACATGTTTACTTCCCTTGACTTTAGAGAGCATAGTTTTTGACAATGAACTGTGGCTATTTTGTGCATTGGTACTGTATTTGTTCTTGTTTGTCAATTATTCGATTGACATACAAAAAAAAAAGTTTTCTGTAGTATTTATTTAAGCAATAGTTTAAATGTAAGCGAATATACAAAGCTAGAAATGTAACTTTTAAAAACATATTCTGTTTATTATGTTATAGTTTGTCTAGTCAGTCATTTATTGTGATTTGGAATTATTGCAAATGCTTGTCTGCGCTCTACCAAATGTCAAGTAATCTTTATGCAGTTATTCTTCCCACGTTAACGAAAGTATGATTTTTGAATTTAAAAATAAATGTAGAAATGCATTTAAATGGTTTATCTTGTAATAATATCATATAATATAATAACGATGATACTTGTCTACGAATATTGTATAAAAATATAATGGTTCATTTGCTCATTTTTTCTGTACATATTGTATCAAAATTGAATTGTACCATTACATCGAAGAGCCGATTTATTTGTCCGAACCGTGTCTGTCGTGCGACTTACCGGAATCTGTTCCGATCCATTAGAAATTTTTAGTTTTATTTTGGGATATCTCCATGCTATATGGATGGAATTTTTAATGCACTCATACCTAATTTAAATGTTTATTTATGTCTTCCCAATATGAAATATCCAAATAGTGATAATTATAATTGGACTTTCACCAGATGGAAAAANGCTATACGTGCTTACTGGATGATCAGGATAAAGATGCTCTCTCTCTCTATATGTGATAACGTGCCTTTTAATGATAAACATATATATATATATATATATATATATATATATAATATATATTAGTTAAGATATAATATAATATATATAATGGGAAATTTCACTAATTCAAATGTCAATTGGGCTATTCTCGTAATCTGAATCAAATATTTTTAATACAATATTTAAAAATATGTTGCTGTTAGATTTATGAGATAATTCTTTGATTTTAAATAGATTCAGTTTTATAAATAAATTGAAATTCAATTTTCAAAGAAAAAAATTGTATTTCTTCTTAAATTACAATATTTATATTATAATAGTAATATGTATATGTTTACACTATTTATTATTATTATTATATTAGATTAATTTTTAATTAATTTATTCTTATTTTTTTTAATACTCTGCTGATCAAAGTGTTTATAATTTCAAAATTTTAAATTTAATTCATTTGAATTTAAGTGAATGAAGTTTCATTAAAAAAAGAAATTTAAAAGAGAAAATTTAAACAAAAATTCTAAAGTTATAATAGTAAATGTGAATTAATTAATACATTGGGAAAAATTATTCGATAATTTATAAATATCAATTTAACAATCATAAATGTATGCTATCATCTTTAATTAATGATACAAATCAGTTTATTTTATTTCTATGTTTTTAAAGCTCCGTCTTAAAAAAGATTATAATGGAACAATGTTTAAAAAGTTTTGTAAAAATAAATAATTTTAATGAAACTTTATAAATCCAATTCAAAATGCTTTTCTTCTTAGAAAAAAACTTGTTAGATAATTCAAACATTGGGCCAAATCCATAATGAACTTGCTAAAAAAGCCCTCTTAAGGCCATATTCACAACCAAGGATCAAAAGAAGTTAACCAAT